CCTTCGCTTCAAAATCGGCGTACTCACCCGGCTCTCGTAGTACCATGCTTTCTAACAGAAGGCTTGTCAATAGGTGAAAAGCTCCCTTTATAAACAAAATCATGAAGGAAACAATTCGTGTTCTCATGGCCGATGTCAGACTTTGCGATTGGAGCGATTTTGCACCAATTGCAGGAGCGACGGATCGCTTGAGCGATGCGAGCGACGGGAGATTTACACCGCCGACCACCGATAATTCGGCGCCATCGGGTAAATCTCCCGTCGCTCGCATCGCTCAAGCGATCCGTCGCTCCTGCAATTGGTGCAAAATCGCTCCAATCGCAAAGTCTGACATCGGCCAGTGAGAGCACGAATTGTTTCCTTCATGATTTTGTTTATAAAGGGGAGCTTTTCACCTACTGACAAGCCTTCTGTTAGAAAGCATGGTACTATGAGAGCCGGGTGAGTTCGCCGATTTTGAAGAGAAGGACTTTGGGAGAATTATATGCTTACCCATCTTGGTGCTCTCACTGTTTTGGGGTGAGCATATTATTTGGGTGAGTCAGTTACATGAAGAACTCGCCCGACTCAAATACCAAGGAAAACAGCTATTCATATTTTATGGGGTGTTAAATCACGGAACTTGTAGGACATTATTTGGGAGAGAGAGCGCCGACGAGAGCACAACAACAACGTGATCGCTCGTCTGCGGCTGTGTGGCGGTATGGTTTCCGCTGACATTCGTTCAACTTTGAATGAAAACAGTGAGATCACGCCTTTCATTTCTTTTTCACCGCTGCCTTGCGTCCTTCTTGCTGTAACGTTCTTTTGAATGGAATGACGAACATTGCTCGCAGATTTGAAACGGACACAGAGAGGTTTTTAAGTTTTGTTTATTTTCCGGGCGGATGATTTATTTTCTTTCATTTTCTTGTGTTGATTTGCTTTTCTGTTCATGTACGAGAATTGGTTTCGTATATTTTGTCGTCACTGTTTACAACAAATAGCAGCGGTTGCTTGCTGTATTCAACCTTCTACATAGTCTTTTCTAGGGATTGTTTTCGTCTTTTTTAGGTCGGCTGGTTGTACCTTCATGAATTTTATTTCAGATGAGCCTAGCATCGCTAATATGCGGCCGACTACTTCGAATTTTCCAATCGATACTTGGTCTAATGAAGAGAGCGTTGTGTTTTATGCGTAAACGTGACAACATTGGAGAATTGCCGTTTACTGGTTTGTTAGCCGTATATATTTCGGATATTGGGAATAGTTATTTGTTCGCTTATTCTTTACTTTTCCTTATCCTCACACTAAAATGATGATAACGTAATGCGAAAAATCGAAACATGCCCATATTACTTCCTTTGTGGTTAGCTCAGGGAGGGCGACGGAGGTCGACCACATCAAAATTCTGAATAGGTAATGCTCGTACTAGGCATTTGACTGAAAGCACAAGTGTTACTTTCATGCCAGGCATTTGAAAAGCATCAAAACTGCAAAAAAGTACACCATTGACTTCCAGGGAAGTGAACTTTGAACTATTTTGAACTTAACGACCAATTGAGGCTAGAGTTGGCGTTCCAAATAGGAGTTTGCAAAGTTCCTCTCGATCAATTGTGGAGTGATAAAATTGTAAGCGTAAATTCCTGTGACTCCAGTGGTAATTTGAAAAATTTCCCATGCCTGTACTTCTCTTTTTGACAACTGATTTTTAACAACCCACATGCGCTACTTCGAAAAGTAGTGTTAGATATTTTGCAGTAGCAGAAGTCACACGACTAAACAAGCAGCTTCTGGTTGAACGGTTTTGATTGAACTAGCTAACTTGAAGTTTGATATTTTTTATCTTATATGGTGAACGACCCACAACGCACACTGGACAATATGTTTGCCCTTCATTGTAAGTTCAGTTATTTAATCATTTTACCCGTGAACTTTTAGGCACTTACGCGTGGCTTTTTCTTAAAATGTTTAGTTCCTTTTTAATGGAAACTGCATTTAATTCTCACCGCAGAGAACGTGTTGAGTAAATGTACTGTTCAAAAGACTGGGAGTGCCAGTCATTGGTTTCACCTTTTGTTCAAATATTTTATTCCAGTTGTCGTTCGACAAACTGCTCCAGAAGATCCATACCCAACTGCAGTTGCTCCCGCAGGTTGGGATGATCACTGGGAGGAGAAGCAAGTCGTGGAGGAGAAGATCGACGAGTGGAGGCGGAAAAAGGTCCAGTTTGCTTCAGTTATTCTCCTATACTTTCATTGCTACAGCTTGATGTTGTTCTATTTTGGTTCTTTGTGCACATCACTTTTCACTTCTTGTTTCTTTTCTTTTTCCTGTGTGCTTTCATAGTCGGTGGTCCGATCGTAAAGGTCATGATAATCGCAAAGCATATGAGGCTTATCGATCTCCCGATCGTCCGGCATGTTCGGTAGGATTGTCGATATGTATCTATTGCGTGCAATCATTGCGATCGGACGACCGACTTTGGAAGCGCTCTCATGGAATTTTGCTTTGGAATACACTTTATTTTACCTTTACACATCTCCACTTAGGCTGAAGCAAATCAGTCTCTGTCACAGAAGAACGACGATATCGACTTCTTCAACGATATGCAGCCGAACATTAAGAAGGCTAAGAAGGTATTCATTTGAGATCCTCTCCTGTATTCCAGTTTTCTCAGTACTTTTTAAAAGAACTCAAAAGTTTCTTCCTAGGTTGTGTTGAAGCCAAAAGTTCCACAACATGCTCGTGAAAATCGGAACCTGTTTGGATTCACAGAGGATTCAAGTGTAGACGGGGTGAGAAGAAGTCATATCTTTTATATTGCTTTTCGTACAATTGTAAAGTGAGAAACGAAAATGAGAAACGTTTGTGCTAATCGTGGTTATGAGATATGGCTATTGAGCTTGCGGCTGAAGCAGTCCATGCCTTGTCGAATCTCTTGCGAGGTGCATCCTTTGTTGCTTAGAGCAGCCTCATCCGTCTGAAAGTAGTGGTAGAATGTACTTATTGACAAACGCTGTGCAATTAAACATCACAGTGGAAGCACCAACGAACGTAAGAGGTGGTTTAGTGTTAAGGATATCTCATAAATTGTTCAACGTGAAGGATTTTAAGTAATTCGCGCAAGATTTCGAGCTTCTTCACAAGAAGAATCTGCTCCACCCGAAACATGTCTCCATGGTCTCGCGCGTTTTTATTCTATTTTTTCTTGTTTTTCTGGAGTTCTTGATTATTCTTGACTATTTATAGAAGAGTCATGAAGGATTTCTTCTTGTCTTGGTTTCCTCTCATCCTCTTATTAAGTTTTCGGCCGCAGTATGACCTATGCGGTGGTCATACGCCCACGGTTCATTAGAAATGAATTAATGTATGTGGTAGGGTTCTTATGATTAACGTTTTGTGGTTGGGCTTGTCTCCTACCTCTTTTTTCGTACTGCAAGCCTTACAAACATTAAGAACATGCGGTTTGTTCTTGGTGGGTTCCCACAGATGATAAAGTGGGGATCCTTGGCACGCTATCTCACTACTTGTTGAGCAGTTTTTACTTCCCAGTTTATAAGAAAGGCACAGAATGACAGAATTCGAGTCTTGACAAGAAAGAAAGCTGTTTAATTGGATTTACGTTTTTATTGACTTTGAAATTCAAAGGCACTTCAAGAAAATAGAGTGCAATTCAAGAATTGCATCTTGTAACTTTGAGTTCGTGATCCTTTTTTCCTTGTTCATACTGTTCTATTCTCGACGCTTATATCGGCCTAAAACCTGTTTCATACCTAAACTCATACTCAACCTCATCTTTCATGTTTCGGTTTGATTAGTTTTCTAGACGCAACCCTCGTTGGCCATGTAAGTGCTTTTCAAGCAGTGTTGTTGCTGAAACAGGACTTAGTGCCTGCTATTGAGTGCATGATATCTCAAAATCCCTGACTCTGACCACGTCTCCTGGTTGGCTGTTCTATATTTCTGCCAGGTAGGGTGGAGGGTTCCCTTTAAGAAGAGCTGCTCGTTACTTTTGCTTTCTTCCACTGTTCCTTGGGTCTATCCGAATCATGCCCTCGTGCTCTCTTCGCTGCACTCCTGTTCAGTGCTCCATGCTTGGGGGCTAGACATCCTGCACGGTTCACTTGTTCTAATTCATTTTGTGATTGAAAGCTGCCAAAATGTTCACTCTGTAGACGGTGCGAATCGCCATAAAGACTGTTGCTAGCTAGTGATAATTGAATTCTGTTTTGTTTTGCTCCACGGTGCTATAAGCGCTCCTCTAATCTCTTCCTTTATTTCACGTCTTAAATGGTGTTTCAATTCTTGTCCAATTTTGGCGAATTTCTTTTGTTCATTTTCGATTGTGGGATGAAAGATATCCGTAAAAATTCATAATTTCCACTTACTAATGTTTTTTCGACTTCCTTCATGCAGTCGAGGTCACAAGTGGGACTTCCTTTACAGCATCCTTGAATCCTTCCCTGTACTTCCTTTCCGCATTCACCTGAAAATTCTTTTTATTAGTTTTGCATTGGTTTCATATTTCCTATCGGAATGACTTTTTCCTCGTCTCGATAAATCTTCTGTGAATGGTGAATTATCCACGACAGCCATTCATATGCATCTGCCCTCACCTTTGGAATCCGAACCACGTCTGAATCTCAAGCTGTTAGAACTCACTTTGTGCTAATGCTTCACAATCACCAGCGGCTTTGTCGTCACCTGAAGTCTTGACAACTTCTGGAGCCTTCTGTTGGGCTACGGGTTTGGGCTCAGCTTTTGGTTCGAGACGTTCGAGTTTTTGTTGAATCACAAGGAATCTTCTCTTCTCGGAATCGGTCATTTTCTATAATACAAGTTGAAATAAGGGAGCCGTTATTTTGAGAAATCTTCTGATTAGAACAGAGATTGTCAGTTTAAGGTATTATATGATTGGTAAGCATGGTACCATTTGAATAGCAGCCAAAAGTATTTTTTCAATAAACTTACCTCGACATTACAGTGATCCCTTTCAGTTTGATATTGGCAGACTTCCAAGGTGACATCTACTCTTGAGTTCCCATCTCGTTCCATGTTCACATCTCTGAATGCATTAATATGATTAATTATAGTGTAGTTCGAGGTAATATATTTCCTCGCTGTAAATCATGACAACTGTGAAAGCTTTCGTGATTATTTGCTGGGCGCTACACTGATTGATGGGAGAACGTTGTGTAGTGGTCTAAGGTATCATTAAGCAACGCTTGGTCGTAGGATCAGTTTTTGTCCGCACCCAAACAGAACGAAGTTGGTGAGTGAATGCAGAACTGCCTGGAAAAACAAGACCACCAGTTTCAGTGTTTCAGCTGGTCTCTTCTAGTCCTCGTAGCGGTCCACGACCCGCTCTGGCCCTCTGGGTTTGGGAAGATCTGTCAAGTCTTCCCGTTCGACTCTTCATGCGCGCACCAGTTTTTGAAAGTTCAAAATACAAAACGTGGGAAATGGGTTGAAAGGGATCTCCTCCGGGACCCTTTTCGTGGACTTCATAACGTGAAATATCGGAGTACAGAAATTTAATGTTTTGCAGTGCTGTTAACTCAACTTTAACTAGGGCAAATTATCAATATTTCAGTGGATCACACGGTCAGTAGAGCGCTTAGTGGAGGCGGCGGTGGGATGCACACGTTTTTCTCGATTAATAGTCTTGAGGAAAAAGTGTCCCAATCAGTAATGGAAGGCAATTTTGTTTTGGAGACTAGGTTTCGGGAGTGCTCATTGCAAAAGTCTTCTTTTGAGTTTGACAAGGCGCGACCTTCGTCATGGCCAGATCAGTGATCGAGCCCGAAATTGTTTCAAAATGAGTAAACTATGTAGGAAACGCTGTCAATTCGGTGTTTCTATCACGACGTGGACAGTTAATCACAATAAACGTTCAGGTAGATGTGAAGCTTTGTGGAGCTAGCGGCTATCTTTTCGAAAATATAGACGTAATATAATATTGAGTGTAGCCCTGAAAATTGGTAGCATATTGAATTGAGAGGCAGGAGGTACCAAAAAATGTTGCATGTACTTCGAGTGCGTTTACAGTTCTGGCTAGAGGACATGCACATAGCGCATCGCACTACTCTTTATGAATGCACTTGTACTTCATGCTCTATTCTTTATGAAGCACAGCATATGTTTTTGTGCAAGTACGAGTACCCGTAATCCTCCGTAATCAGTAACCCCTGCTCCTAATCTATTCGGTTGTCCCATAAGTGGTTCGTTTCTTTTAGAGACAGAAAATTTTCTTGTAAATCCCCAAGTTTTTACACCTTTTTCTTCCTTATTTGCTGCAGGGTTTGCAACAGGGTCAACCCTATGTTGCTACAAGTAGCAACGGGGGGTCGTATTTTGATGAGTTTGTAGAGGGGGGGTCGTACTTGCTTCGGTTGTAAGAAGTTGCATGTGATGAGTGGGGAGCGGCGCGGGAGAAAATTTGCCGTTTCAGCGCGCGTATATACCCCTAGAAAATGGAGCAGTTGAAATATGGGTAAAATACATGGAAATTGTAGGGAAATGTAGGGAATTTTTGCGGTTTTATGGTAAGTATATACCCCCCCCCGCTCGACGGTAATTTTTTGGGGTAAAAATTGTTTTGAAAGAGGGGGTCGTATGAAACATTTCATGAGGGAGGGGGGTCGTAAAAACTTTTTGAAAAGTAGCAACGATAGGACCGACCCTGTTTCAAAGTTTAGGCCTGCAAAATGGGAGGTCCAGCCGACGAAAAATTGACCAAACCGACAACTAGCTCTAACTTTCCCTTGGGAGAAATCAATCAATGATGTACCCTCTACTTACTCATGACCTCTTCTGAACATTCCACTCTTAGGTTGCCGAAAAAGCTTGCCCGTATCTTTTCGAGTTTGGTATTTATGGCTGGCTAATAAGCCATAACAGTTTTTAAATTGAATCTCTCCTCTTCGCTCATTTGTTTTGTTTTTATTTTGTTGTGAATGAGGTCGAATTTTAGGATTCACAAAATTCGCGTGATGTGGTGTTGTTCAAACAAAAGACCACATTACTTTGAAAAAAAAATCCCCAGAATCATGAAAAAATCAACCTGGCATACATTCCTGACATAGTGATGACTTGTTCTTAATATTTCTCTAGTTCTTTAAAGCTCGACCACAAAAAAGTTTGGGCTATATCCAAAGAATATCCAAAGAAATGGTGCTTGATCATAGACCTGGTTGAAAACCAAGTCTGGAAAAGGAGCGACGCAACTTGTTGGAAAGCCTAAATGGAATGTTCATAAGATGGGCAAGGCTGTTGGTCATTGACTGATTCCACCTAGGGGAACATAAAGTCAGGTCGACTCCTGTTCGTAGGTCCAAAATTCAAAAACCTGCACATGAATGTGGAAATTAAGCAAGTTTTTTTTGTAGAGCAGACAATTCTCTTTCGAATGATATATGGCGTGGTGTGAAAACGTGAGCATTTAGAGGAAAGTTCTCTGTTTGAAAAAAAAGCGACTTACTCATGGGATAACCTAATAGTAGCTTCCCTAGATTTTCTTTGGTTCGTCCCAATATGAATTTTCGAAGATTGAGTTTACGCCGCTTTTGCTAAGTACCTGATAAAACCGATTGTTGAGAAAACTGAACCTGATGTAGTGATTAGGGGCTAGCACGGGATTGGTGCGGATTGACGGTCCTAGGACAGCAATGGACTCCGTGTCCCTCCATACGCACTTTTCGCGTCCAACATCATCTAAAAATGAGAGTTGTGCTCGTGCCAATGATTTCAATATTGATTGATGGCTGGAGTTCCAGACACGTTTGGTCATAGTCACTGCAAACGCGAACACTTGAAAAAGGTAGCACATTATCGCGTCTCTGTGTCCGGCGTTATTTCTTCTGATCAACCGGATATTTTCATCTGTCGTCGTTGGAGGTTTTTGTAGCTTCTAGGACATGTCCAGTTTTTTATTCGTCTACCAATGAGCCATCAGCTATGAGGCTACGTATGATTCGATATGGTTAAGATTTCCTGGTAATAATTTCTGGCTTATTAAGGTTGGATTGGTTGACTCAACTCTTTCGAATCATTGGAAAGATATGGCTGGGCAAAGTTGGGCACTAACCAGTCTCAAGTCGTGTTGCCATCGAGGCACAACATAGAACCATAAGAGATTTGGAACTGATCAGTAGTCCAGAGACAAATGTTCGTCGTCCATGGAATGCTGGGAATGAGGCATGTGAAGAGCAATTTTTACGCCATTCGCATTGTGTCGCACAGTGATAGGGAATGAATCGAGCACAAATAGCCTGGAAATGATCCAGTTTGTACGAAGTGTTTCTGAGAGGATGACAGGAATAGTCGATTACTTACATTATTGGATTCATAGCTGAACAGTTTTTGACCGACGTAACACTGAACGGCGGCGTAGGCTAGAGTAGGCAGCAGAAGTGCACAGAGAAATCGTAACATTCTGAAATGAAAAAAGGGTAAGAGGCAGCATCGTGCAGATGGAGATTTTGAGAAGTCACGTAAGCACAGTAAGGCAGTTGTGGAGATGAGAGCTCGTACTGGTGTAACCCATCAAGTAGATTGTAAGCGTAGGAGATTTGTGAGTATGTAGAGATGAAACACTATGCGACATGGTGGACGATGGAGCTATGCGTGTTGCTGCCCTAGCATCCTATCGGGTGGGCGTGGCGACGGTTTTCGCTACCTTCGGAAGGAAAATCGCTTACGACGATCGCTGCTAGCATCACACCGTCATCAGTATGTCGTTTGCATTTTTTTCTGCGACGAAGGATGGGTAGGGTGCACGAAAGTGGATATGAGATATTCACTGAAGGGAAAGAGAGGTCGTTGATCAGCAAAGGAAGAACAAGTGGACAGTCTCATTGAAGGCTTGATATATATTAGTAGGCTGATGACGTTTACCCGAGAGGGCTTTTCGTGGATGAAGTTTTCGAGAGAAACCAGCTTTTGATACGGATTGTTTTCGTTAGGTAGTGATGAGGAATGATGATCGCAATTGCCTCCACTCAGGCTCGCCTGTAAGCGTAATAGTAGGCGTGTGGGACAGACGTGTGGGAGAAAGTTCCGGAGTCTGAAAGGTGAGTGTGTGTATATGGGCGGCGGGGGGAATTCTGTCGAGATGGCCCCTGGATTTCTCATACCCATCACATGTGCAGATTTCACGTCGTTAATGATCGCAATCGCTGTCAACGGCGATTTATAGCATCCGCTTAAGGTGTCGGGATGTTGGATAAAGCGGAATATTGACGATGACGTTCAGGTGAGAGAAGAGGCACATTGTTTTTTCGAACAGAGTGATTATTGACACGATTAATGGCTGGAGATGATTAGCCGGCAGACTTGTGTGATTGGATACGGTAAGGAGAAAGGTTCGACTTGGTGCAGTCGTCGAGAAGTGAGAATAGTCTCATCTAATGTGCTATTTAAAAAGATGGCGACCAATCAAAGCCTTACACACCAAGCAACTCTAGACGGTTTTTCCACGAGAAAAACCTCTATTGCGGTGACCTTTTGTCTGTTCCCTGGGAGCATTATTAGAAGGTGTTACAGCATTGGTTTAATTAAGGAGATAGCCCATTTGACGCATTGAAATTACTAATGCTCTATTCCTCTTCCAATAGCTTAACCATTGACTGCTACTTGTACGCATATGTACAGGGTGAGGCAAAATTACTGGTGCACCTACATATAATGGATTTTTCCAAAACTTGTTGTGGACTTTCTCGTCTGATTCTTTCATGATATGTAGCTTGAACACGCTGCTACTAATACGCCCTGATCACAAAGTGGTTAGGCCTTCCACTTTGCGAAGTGCACCAATCAACCTCCAACAGAGCGCTATGCGAAACCGTTCTCGACGATTTTTCAAATTCTCAAATTTTGTTCAAACAGCGTTCAAACTCGGTATTTGTTCAAAACCATGGGCGTGTCTTTACTTTGGAGAGGATTACGGGTGAATTCACCAAAGGGTTTGCTTCAGGACACTGACCGAGAATGGTCCAGGAACAGTGCACCGAGCAAACCCTCAACTTCATCAGTTATGACGAATGGCTCTCCAATTCTCGGGGAAAGACCGATATATTTTCAAGTATGGGCTACCTTGAAGGGAAAAGTCTGCTCTATCAGTTACCGTTGACGACAGCGTGACGCGGTAACGCGTCCCACTTTGCGCACCTCGTGGGACATTGTGACGCGGTAACGCGTCCCACCCAAGTCATCCCTTTTTCTTGCGCTTGTGCGACTTATTCCTAAGGTCTTTGTACTCATTCTATAGGTCATACATTAGCATACTTAAAAACCACATGGCACAGAAAGGCCAAATATTCTTTAGTTTGGCAGACGTTTTCCAGACCTTACGGATATGTCTGTTCAATTCATTCCTCGTTTTCTTTTCAATAACGTAAACATGTTGATAAAAAGGAATAACAAACCTATTCGTATGGGAAGATATGTGTTTTTACTGAAACAACCACGTCCAAATTAATTTTGGAACCACTAAAGGGAAATAAGTAAAATTTGCCTTTTCATGGCCTTAACACGTCATTTCGGTCGAACTTCCATTACTGTAACTCCCGATAAGCTAGACAGATCGAACATCATTGAAAACATTTCATCGCATCTAAGTATTGCGGATTTACAACTCAAAATCCATGGATTTGGTGTGCGGCGGCTGCGCTCGCAAAATCGCTCTGTCCCACGCGGTGCAAAAGCACAAAACGCGCGATGTCGTCAACGTGTTAAAGAACTGTGTAAAGGCTAGAGGCAATCATTTTGAAAACTGTTAATAAGTTTTGAATTGTCATCTTTTCTACAAACAATTTTGATTAGATCGATTTCTGAAAGCTAGTCTCGAAATGCCAACAAAATATTGGTGCAGCAGTAATTTTGTGCATCATTTTTTGATAAAAGCCATTATTAAATAGGTTGCTGCTCATTACGTGTGGGTGAAAAACATTTGTTTCTTTTTAGCAGGCACTTCTTTGGGTCATATATAAGGCCTTATCATCTTAGAGTAAGTGTCTATTTGCTAAGGTAGGCGGCACACTAGAGTACTGTTCGCGAGCTGTTCAAGATGGATGATTGGCTTTCATTCGCGAATAGAGCGCTTTTTGAATTCACTCTATGAGAGCAGTCTTCAGCATAAATATGATTAGATGCTGTTGCTCATTTTTAAGTAGTGTAAGTCAGCAGCGGTATAGGAGGGCTCAAAGTTTTGGGGATTTCATTCAGTAGAGAAGTATATTATGTTGACTTTTCAGAATTTTCTTCAGTTTCTTCATCATGAAATCATGCATTCCGTTGTTAAGAACTTGTCAAGGAGTTGAAAAAATGAACTGGCCATCGTGAATGTTTTGTAAGATTCAGAGTTACTGTGCTGACTGGAGCGAGGTTATGGGCGAGTTCCAAAGATGGAACAGAGCTTTATTTTTCAGCGACCAAAATATGTGCTTGGTAGACCTCAGGCATCGTAGCAGGATGACCAGTGTTTAGATTTTTTTATACGTGCAGTAACTTGTTCCAATTACCGCATTGAGGAGCAAATCCCTTGTGGAACAAGGGTAGGTGCCCAAAAACTAATACACGTGATTTTTCTGATTTTGAGGTCAAATGTGTAAAAACTGTTCATGGCTAGCTGTATTTTTTTGAGTTTTTCGTTATTTAAAAAACTTGTCCGTTTGGTCTGAGAGATGTCACGGAGTGGTAACGACCTCGATTCAAGGGTGTCCTCCTACGTATTGCTCTTCCTCGTCTAGGTGGGTCTCCGGTAGGTTGCGGCTACTGCGATTAGTGATGCTTCACCTTGACTTTCCTTTGTGTGTACGCGTTGCTGGTTTTCTTGACAAATGTACCAACAGCATAAAAAGGAACCGGTTAACAGATTATTCGTATCAGGGGTTCAGTTTCTGATCGACGTGCGCTGGAATGCATTTGATAAACTTAGCTTGCAATCAATGCGTTCTGCAGTATGTGATCAAAAATCAGTCTGTTGGCAGTGGTGAAGGGGCGGTGATGCTACAATGGAGCGCTCTTCGCGGCTGTATGAAAATTTCGGATGGTCTTGTTACCGTCGTCGATCGCGACGATATGGCCGGTGGTGGGGACTCTATTTACGCTAGATTAGATACGATATCGAGAGCGATAAGCATAGGAAACCGAATCGCTGCAGCGTATCCGATAGCCCGTTGGCGATGGTCGCGACTGCGGTGAAGGTGGTGACGTTGAATGAAGGTAGTGCCATATGAGTGGAGGAGGGCTTTCAAATTTAGTGCTTCAGGATTAAGGTGTGTCACCAGGCTTCAGAATAGTTTCGATCATAGTAAAGATGCTCCTCGTTTTCACAGGAGTAATGTTGAACAGCTATCCTTTCTTGTGATAATTTTCCCTTTATTATGCATGTAGAACGCAGGGCATCGTCCTTGAATTCTGGCATGTACCTTTTATATTGGGCGGCCAGGTGCGCCTGCACCGCGGACTTGACTACACGAGTGACGACGTCCTCGAAGAAGTTTTGATGAGTAGTTGTTTACAGTGACAGCTTATGGCTGAAAAATGATAGTTTCACTTATATACAGTTCACAGAATGCAGCTGCCATCGGGTGGTCATGCCGCTATCAGAAAATTACTGCATTCCGTAAAAGCGGTCGTCACTTGTGCTGTTCAATCTGCAGACGTACAAAAAAAAATAAATGTCGAATTTCGTGCGCCATTTTGCAGAACACCCTCGTTCAAGTCTCGCGCTTCAGAACCACAATAAATCACATATCATGATGCATGAGTCTTTTTTGACGAAGTCCAAAAAAGAAGCCGCTGGGAACAAATGAACCATAATTTAATGCGGCGATCAGGCCGACGGCTTTGTCGAGGCTACGAGAAAGCTTCGCAACCGGGACAATCTCGAGACCAATTTGAAAAGAAGTCGCTTTGTGATGTATTGCTTCCAAAAAAGCACGTCGGTGACCATTAGAATGCGAATACTGACTTCTTTCTCAATAATAGTTTTGACAAAGGTGATCTAGACATTCCACCGAGGCCAAAAGAGCTTCCTAAAAGGGCTGGTTAAAGGAACTGTCAGTACATTAGATTTCCACCGGTGTTGGCAGTGACATATGGAGGGTTCCAAAGCGAGGATCTTGAATGATAAACAATTGTATGTGAGAATATCGGTTTGATGCAAAAAAAACCCTGTAGTGGAGAAGCCTTAGTGTCAGGTTCGATTAACATGACTGATTAGGCGTTCTCAGCCGAAGCGTTCACTTATCGACCTCTTCATGTAACGTGAAGTAGAAGATTTTATTTGAAATCGTGAGGGGTTGGCGGAGATGAGCGCTGTGCGATGATCTAATATTTCTGAGGATAGCATTTGTTGCAGTGGACTTCTATATTACTTGAAAAATTGAGGGTTAACTGAGCTCGCTGTTGAGTTGGGTCAAAATATGTAA